AGAACTTGGCAAGTGATTATTCACGATCTCCTTGCTGAAGGTATAAATCGAATTAATACTGATGTCGAAAGTAGTAATTTTAGTATTTTTACTGACAGAATTTTTATTGAAGGTCTTGTCATCAATGAAGCATTCCAAGTAACAACGATGATTGAGAGGTTGCCTCCTTTGTGGAAGGACTTCAAAAAGCTACTTGAAACACAAACGCAAGGAGATGTCGCTTGAAGATGTCATTGTTCGGTTGATAATCGAAGAGGACAACAAAGCTGCTGAAAAGAGAGGCCGTGGAAACTCAACAATAATAAGAGCAAATATTGTTGAGGATACTTTTCAAAATAAGAGAAAGAGGAAGCAGACTTCTAGACCGAAAAACAACCCAAGCAAGAAGCGGTTCAACGAAAATTGCTACACTGTGGGAAAGCTGGGCACAAATGTACGGAGTGCCGTGCTCCGAAGAAAGACAAGAAGAAGGGTCAAGAAAACATGGTTGAAAAGCATGAAGATGTTGATGACTTGTGTGCTATGCTTTCTGAATGCAACCTGGTCAGAAATCCTAAGGAGTGGTGGATTGATTCTGGAGCCACTCGCCATATTTGTGCTGTTAGGAAGCCTTTGCAACATATGCTCCTATTGGAGCCGAAGAGACGCTTTCTATGGGAAATGCTGCAACCGCCAAGATTAAAGGATGTGGGAAAATCTTTCTGACAATGACTTCTTGCAAAGTGGTGATATTGAAGAACATCCTTCATGTTACCGAGATTCGAAAGAATTTAGTCTCTATTGGACTTCTTGTTAAGAATGGTTTTAAGTGTGTTTTTATATCCGATAAGGTTGTAATAAGTAAGAATGAAATGTTTGTAGGAAAGGGTTATCTCACTGAGGGTCTTTTCAAGCTGAACGTAATGGTTGTTGAGAATAATATAAAATTTCAGCTTCGTCTTACTTACTTGAGTCAAATGAGTTATGGCATATACGTTTGGGTCATGTAAATTATAAAACCTTGTGGAAAATGATTAACTTGGAAGTATTGCCTAAGTTTGAATGCGACAAGTCAAAATGTCAAATATGTGTAAAATCTAAGTATGTTAAACACCCTTATAAGTCAGTTGAAAGGAATTCAAATCCTTTAGACTTAATTCACACAGATATTTGCGGCATGAAGTCAATACAATCTCGCGGTGGAAAGAAGTATTTCGTAAATTTTATTGACGATAGTACTCGATATTGCTATGTTTACTTACTTAATAGTAAAGATGAAGCAATAGACGCATTCAAACAATACAAAAATAAAGTTGAAACACAACTTAACAAGAAAATCAAAATGATAAGAAGTGACAGGGGTGGTGAATATGAATCTCCTTTTGAAGAATTATGTTTAGAATATGGAATTGTTCATCAAACAACGGTCCCTTACACGTTAATCCAATGGGATTACAGAAAGAAAGATTCGTTCATTAAAGGATATGATGAACGCATTGTTGATAAGTTCTGGTTTGCCATAGAACTTGTGGGAGGAAGCCATTCTTACGACTAACCAAATACTAAATCGAGTACCCCATAGAAAAACACAATCCATTCCATATGAAAAATGGAAAGGAAGGAAGCCCAACTTGAATTATTTTAAAGTGTGGGGGTGTTTGGCAAAAGTGCAAGTTCCTAAACCCAAAAGGGTAAAAATATGACCGAAAACTGTTGATTGTGTTTCTATAGGATATGCGACCAATAGTAAAGCATATCGATTTCTGGTTCATAAATCAGAAAATCCCGACATTCATAATAATACAGTTATAGAATCAGATAATGCTGAGTTCTTTAAAAAAATATGTCCGTATAAAAGGGAATGTGAGTGGATTGGTGAAGGATCTAAACAACCTCGGGAAGAAACAAAATAAAGTACATTTAATCAGGAGGATCCAAGATGTAGTAAACGTCAAAGAACATCTACTTCATTTGGACCAAATTTTGTGACTTTCTTATTGGAGAATGAGCCTCGAACATTTGAAGAAGCTATGTCTTCTTCAGAATCATTGTTTTGGAAAGAGGCAGTCAATAGTGAAATAGAATCCATATTGAACAACCATACATGGGAATTCATTGATCTTCCTCTTGAAAATAAATCGTTGGGTTCTAAATAGATATTTAAGAGGAAAATGAAAGATGATTGCTGATGTTCCAAACGTCAATACCACACAAGGGGGGGGGGTGATAATTGTGTGGTACCCGATTTTCGATCTAGAAGAACCTGGTTCTTCTAGGTGTTCTAACTACTACTGTTTGCGGAATTAAACGTACAAAAAATAAAGAACACAGAGATTTTTATGTGGAAAACACCTGACTCAAAAGGTGAAAAAACCACGACCTACTACTCAGTAGGATTTTCCCAAACATCCACTAAAATCAATGAGCCAAAACAACATTTACAAAACTCTGGTAAAACTAAGGATTAACTCTAATCCCTTTGTAGCACACAACCTCAACTGTTGCGACAAATCCAAGTTAGCCTATAACTTGAACACTCAAAGTACCTATTATAAATGCTTCTACAAAAGCTGAAAGGTACAACTTTAAACCAAACTATAATTGAACTAGAATAAGAATAAACACAATGGAACTGGTTCTTCTATCTCGTTCAAGTAGCTTCAGGAGTGCACACTTAAGTCTCACATAAATTGCTTGCAAAATTGCCTTGCTCTTTTGCTCTCAATTTAGTTTAACTTTTGCATATATGCAATACCTGTAAAAGAGAACAATCACAGTTATTTAATGAGTTAGTAATAAGAGTTTGATTAAGACTCAATTGCTGATCTTCCATCGAAGTTGAGTCCTTGAACAATACAAACTCCAACCCTATCCTTGATCCGGATTGTGTCCTCTTCACATAAGGAGACTTCCTCTCCTCATCCACTATGCAACATTTTCGATCAGTTCAGGAGATATTGCTGCTTGATCCTTCAAACTTATCTCCTTCATGCGCATCTCACATGTATAGGTTGATAAACACTGTGTCTCACATGATGGACCTGGTCCAAGACTGAGTTCATTTGTCATTCTTCAAAACTTCATCTGAACTTGGGCCAACAAATTTCCCCTTTTTGATGATGACAAACTCTATGCTTTTACTGATCAGAGAACATGTGGAACTCTGCTTAACCATCAACACTTTAACTTAGAATCAAGGACCAGGTTTAATCAGGTTATAAATATCATATTATTCAGAATAAAGATTATAAATATCACATTATTCAGAATAAAGAGTAAAGCACAATATCTCTTCCCCCTTTTGGCATCATCGAAAAGTTGAATACATTGTGAATCCCAGATTTTAATAATTACTCATGGCCACTGGGGCAACTGAAAGTGAAAACATGGTTCAATGAATCAACAATCAACTAACAAAAAATAACTATTAAGATCAGAATCTTTATAGAACAAGAGAAAAAGAAAATTGTCATTGATTAGGATATGTTTCCACAAACAAACCACAAAAAGAAAAAAAAACTTCCAAACATGAGCAACAAAAACAGAAAAAGTCCCGAATTTGGGTCACTGGGGGGGTCTAGACTGGTTCAAAAAACAGGAACTGGAAGACCTAAGGCTTGGAGGAACTAGAGGGTTGAGATTGGAGAAGATTGAGCATATTCTGAAGCATCCTTTCACTCTTTTCCTTTTCCTTTGCTAGCTCAGCTTTAAGGCCATCTCTCTCAGTTTCCAATTCAGCAACACGAGCCTGGAGCCTAGCAATTTCAGCATCTTTAGCTCCACATTCTTGAACCAAGGCCCTAACCTTGTTGTTCACAGGAGTCTTCAGAGATGAACCAGGTTCAACTAGGGCTACACTGAGTGGATAGTCACAAGCCTGCAGAGTTTTGACACCAAAATGCTCATTGCTNCTTTGCTAGCTCAGCTCTAAGGCCATCTCTCTTAGTTTCCAATCCAGCAACACGAGCCTGGAGCCTAGCAATTTTAGCATCTTTAGTTCCACATTCTTTAACCAAGGCCCTAACCTTGCTGTTCACAAGAGTCTTCAGAGATGAACCAGGTTCAACTGGGGTTGCATTGACTGGATAGTCACAAGCCTGAAGAGTTTTGACGCCAAAGTGCTCCTTGCTTGATGCCATCTCCCATTTCTTCAAAGGCACATTCAGCCTATCCAGAACAGTAGTCAATATGAACCCACATGGAGTAGCATAAACCTTGGAGCCATTAATGACCCTATCCAACAGTTTGACAATGAAAGCAGGCCAGTTTATCTGCATTCCTCTCACAAGGCACTCCATAAGAACCAGGTCCATGTAGTTGGCAGTGTGCCTTCTCTCCTGTATGGGCAGTAGGCATTTGTTAACAAACTCAAACAGTACCTTGTGCTCAGGCCTCATCTCACTTTTCTACACAAACCTAGCCTCAGGCACATCTTCAGCAGCTTTAGTATCATAGAAATTTCTGGTGATTTGGAGAGCAGTAGGGAGAGAATACAGACAAGGCCACCTCTGCCTGGTATAATCATCATACCCCACACTGAGTATGTCCATAATCTCACCTAATTTGGTTGCATCAAACTGCACCTTGACTCCTTTTACCAGGCTGGTGACTACCCCATTTTTCACAGTGGCATTGGCCATGAACTCAATCATCTCCTTCCTGGCCAACCTCCCATCCATTTTAAGGACCATGTCCTTCCACCCTTGTGCAGATAGGGCATCCACCAATCTTCTTATTCCTGGCTCATCCAGGTCTTTCAATAGTCTTCCTTTCAAAATCTTTCTTCTACCAAAGATGACAAACCTATCCTGTTCTTTTTTAGATTCCTCCTCTTCTTCTTCTCCACTCCATTCTTCTTCTTCTTCTTCTTCAGTAATTTTTACCTATTTCCCTTTCACTGCGGATCTGTTTCTTTTGACTAAAGAGGGTTCAGCAGATACTGGCTCAGAGGAAGACTTCTTGGAAGAAGTCTTGGATCTTTTTGGTTTGGATGTAGGAACCTCCACAATTGTTCCTTTTTCTTAATGGACCAGTTCCGTCTCCTCTTCTTCCTCTTCTGCAGCTTTAGAACTTTCCACAACCTTTGCTTTTCCCTTCTCCTTCTTCTTTTTCCTGCTTTCTTCCAGAGCTTTCAATAACTTCGCTTCACTTTGTTTGACCCTGCTTCTAGTAGCTCTTCCCTTAGGTACTGAAGGGACAGTGGGCTTTGGAGATGACATTTTGCTTTTCTTGATTGGCTTGGAAGCAGTTGGAGCCTTTTGTAATGAAGCTTTGCACTTCTTTGGATCATAACTGGCTCCAACCTTTTTCAGAATGTCAGCTAGGGTTTCCTCAACATATGAACCAGGTTCATCTTGTTGCTTTCTCAGATGAACAAGACCTTCAGCAGCCTCCTCGGAACTACTTCCCCCTGACTTGTTGCCACTCTCTTCAACACCACCACATATAACAAGAACCTTTTCTTTCTTTTTACCTCCCCTCCTACTTGACTCAACCCCCTTTACATCTTTCACAGAACCAACCAAAACAAACCTATTATCTACATTTTCAACCACACCAGAAAATACCAAATAAGTATTTACCTCACCAGGAGTTTCTTGATTTTTGTCAGTGTCAGAAGACCCATGTTCTTCACCTTCGCTGGCAGAAATAAAAGCTTCAGACTCAGAGCTTGAGTCAGATTCTTTAGCAGGACTTTCCTTCCTCTGGCTAGCCCTTAATTTTTCATTTAGAGCTTTTCGTAGAGACCTAGAAGCCACAGTTTTTCTAGCTAACATTTTCTGTCTACGAAACCTAGGTTTTGGGGAAACACTAGGAGGAGTAGATGAAGATGAATTAGAAGGGGATACTGGTGGGGCAATGCCTAGATTATCTTGGGGATTAGTCATGGTGAATTATTTCTGGAGACGTTTTGGGAATTTTGGAGAGAAAAGAGATGATCAGAACTGGAGAGGGATTATTGATGGTTATGGACTAAGGAGGAAGGGTGTGGTGTGTATTTAAAGGTGATTAGAATTAATAGAGGTAACAACAGCTTTTTCAGTAGTCAATTAAAAGTCTAATCAAGGTAGAAATCCGGTTTCTTAGTGATTATTAGGCGTCGCTAGATTTTAGGCAAAAATCCCATTTTTAGAGTTCTAGGAGAACGGAACTTGTTCAATGCTCAACGGATAGAATTTCAGGGAGTTTGGTGAATATAGGACTTCTGCTCATGATTGGAAAATTAATCTTTCTAATTGTGAAGAGTATAGAAAACATACTTGAACTTTCTCATGAGCATATACTGATGAACCAGGTTCATCAAGTAGAACTCTCTTGAACATGCCTCAAATGTCATAATAGAAAAAACTTTGTAAGAGATCAGTGAGTCATATATTCACATGTCACAGGAGTATACTGATTAAAGTATGAAACTGAGTAAGTACTGATCTAGATATTTACACAAAGTTAGAACTCTTAACTAAATTTTTTTTTCAATTTTTTTTCATTTTTTTATTGTGCATTCTGAACTGGACCTATTAGGTGATATTAATCATCCCTAATTCCAACCCGTTCCTCTCAAAGTTTTCTCTACTCAATGCTTTATTTATCAGTAGCACAGAATTCTATTGAAATCAATCCTTTCTCATAGTTATCTCTTAAGAAGTGGTGTCTAACATCTATGTGCTTGGTCCTTTTATGATGAATAGGGTTCTTTGTCATACTAGCACTAGTGTTATCACAGAATATTGGAATACATCCCACTTTAATTCCAAAATCTTCCAGCTGTTGTTTGATCCATAGCAATTGAGCACAACAAGAAGCAGCAGCAACATACTCAGCTTCAGCAATAGATAGGGCTATTGAATTTTGCTTTTTAGTAGCCCATGACACAAGACATGAACCAATGAAGTATGCCATACCTGAGGTGCTCTTCCTATCCACTAGGAAACCTACTTAATCAGCATCAGCATATCCTACTAGATTGAAATTACTACCTTTGGGATACCAAAGACACAAATCAGTGGTGCCTTTAAGATATCTTAGTATCCTCTTGACAACAGTCAAGTGAGACTCTTTTGGATTTGCCTGAAAACGAGCACAAAGCCCTACACTAAAAACAATGTCAGGTCTGCTGGCAGTAAGATACAAGAGTGAACCAATCATACCCCTATACAACTTTTGATCAACTGGTGAACCAGGTTCATCAATATCTAATTTAGTGGCAGTTGCAATAGGTGTGTCTATTTCTTTAGAATCCTCCATTTTAAACTTTTCGATTAGTTCTTTTGTATACTTCTGCTGATGGATCATGGTTTCATTTGGACTTTATTTGATCTGCAAGCCTAAGAAGAAGTTAAGCTCACCCATCATGCTCATTTAAAACTCACTCCCCATTAATTTTGCAAAGTCCTTACTCAACCTATCAGTAGTGGTCCCAAATATTATGTCATCAACATATATTTGCACAACAAGGAGGTCTTTACCTTTTTCTCTTAAGAACAAGGTACTGTCAATTTTACCTCTTTTGTAACCATGCTCCAGTAGGAATTTAGATAATCATTCATACCAAGCTCTTGGGGCCTGCTTGAGCCCATATAGAGCCTTGTCTAACTTGTACACATGCTTAGGACATTCCTTGCTTTCAAACCCTGGAGGTTGTTTCACAAACACTTATTCCTTTAGGTAGCCATTCAGGAAGGCACTTTTGGCATCTATCTAATGGAGAGTGAATTCCATATGTGCTGCAAAGGCTATGTGGAGTCTGATTGCCTCTACTCTTGCAACTGGAGCAAAAGTCTCATGATAGTCAATGCCCACCTCTTGGCTGTAGCCTTGAACCACTAGCCTTGCCTTGTTTCTTGTAACTATTCCATCTTCATCAAGTTTGTTCCTGAAGACCCATTTTGTGCCAATGACTGATCTGTCCTTGGGTCTTGGAACTAGATGCCAAACTTGACTTTTTTCAAATTGGTTGAGTTCATCCTGCATTGCATTCACCCAATCTGCATCCTGCAAAGCCTCAACAACATTTTTAGGTTCAACAAGAGATAGAAAAGCATCAAAAGCACACATATTCTTTAGTTGTGATCTAGTTTTGACTCCAGATGTTGGATCAGTAATGATGTTCTCAATGGGATGAGAACTTTGATACTTGTGGGATTTCACAATCAACTGGTTTCTACTAGATGTCTCTCCTTTGTTCTGTTACTGAGGAACATGTTCATGAACATGTTCTTTTAGGGAATTTGATTCAATTTCTCCCTGATTATTTCCCCCTGTCAGGTTGCCCTGAGTGGAAGGACCTGTTCCATCACCTGTTCCTTCTTTTGATGCCACGTTGACTTGTGCTGGGGATTCAGTCAATTCTTTTACCAGTCCAATGGCTTCATCATCATATTCCTGTCTCTCAGAAAGAATGTTATTTTCATCAAATACTACATGCACACTTTCTTCTACACACAAAGTTCTTTTATTGAACACTTTATATGCTTTGCTATGTGAAGAATATCCCAAGAATACTCCCTCATAATGTCACGACCCGAATTTCCCATCCTCGGTAGTCGTGATGGAGCCTACTAGTGAAAGCTACGCAAGCCAACCAACTGAACTATCTACCTTATTTCCATTTTTAATCCGACAACGGTTAAGAGCCAACAATTAGATAACAACAGAATTGAATAAGCGGAAGACTGCATTGTAGAGATTTAATAATACTGCTAATACCAAACCATAACAAATCTACCCAAGACTGGTGTCACAACTTCACAGACTATCTAGGAGTACTACAAATAAAGGTCTGAAAGAAATAAATACAATACTATCTCTGCAATTACATGAAAAAACAGGAATAATAGATAGAAGGAGACGCGCCAAGGCCTGCGGACGCCTGCAGGACTACCTCGGATTTCCTGATGAACAAGAAAACAACAATCTCACTGCGGTCCGAAGTCTACAACACTGGGATCTGCACAAAAGAGTGCAGAGTGTAGTATTAGTACAATCGACCCCATGTGCTGGTAAGTGCCTATCCTAACCTCGGCGAAGTAGTGACGAGGCTAGGACCAGACTACCAAATAAACCTGTGCAATATA